GTTTTCTTTTGGACAGTCACATCCTTGGAGGGAAATTCTCCGATTTCTGTCCAGGAAACCAAGTTGGGGAAGGAGCTTCCTTGTTCAGCAGTGCAGCTTTCCATTAATCTCATTTTCAGCTTGGCACCTAAACTCTTCTCTCAGCTGTGCCTGGTGTCTAGAGTCATTCTGTTTAATCTCACCAGAGAGAAAATCTCCACTCCTTTGCCTGGGCTGGTGAGGAAGTGGGGGCCTGGCTCTGTGGGGTGGTAGACAATCTCTGGCAGTTCCATGACTTCATAAACAGACGTTCGAAGATTTTTCCTACTCTGTATTCCTGACATCAAAGGCAGTATCTTCAGTTAGTACCTCCAATTTCTGATCTTCTTAGAGTTTTGCAGAACAAATTGACTCTCTTCTTTTTGGCTACTATTTCTGCAGGATTTAGATTTCAGTGTCATCTACTGTGTAAAATTAGTTGGTACCCAACCAGCTATTTTCCAACGTCTAAGATTTTGTCACCATTCTCATTTCTTATGTTCTCCTAATTTGTCCTTGAGTGTTTACATCCTTTTAAACTCATTTACAAAAAAATTCTGGGTACATTGCAGGTGTATACATTTACGGGGTACATGAGATGTTTTGATACAGGCATGCATGTGAAATAAGCACATCATGGAGAATGGGGTATCCATCCCCTCAAGCATTTACCATTTACCTTATGGACAATGCAATTACACTCTTTAATTTATTCAAAAAATGTACAGTTAAGTTATTATTGACTATAGTCACCCTATTGTGCTACCAAGTAGCACTTACTGTCATTTTAAGTGGTCTTAGAAGGGATGGGAGTAAAACAAGTAGGTTCAATATTTCATTATTAACCAAAAGTTCTCTTGCTCATTTGTATGTGATTCAGTATGGCATTATTATTTACCTTTAAGCTACAACAAATTTTTACTCCAGTGACATGTCTACTACTGGTCATTGTTTTTATTCTTATCAATTTTTCTAGTCTCAATATAAACAGAAAAACTGGGAAAGGTAATAGCTTGTATCTCTAGAATCTTCCATTATCATCTGGTTGTGTTCTAAGAAGTAACCTGAAAACTTTTCACTTTTATTATCTAATCTCCACAATTGCACTTGGGTAAATACTATCACAACCCCCATTTTACAAGGCGGAAAAACCAAACTTCAGAAAGATCGAGGCACTTGCATAAAACCACAAGCACATCAAGGAAAAGGATTTTAACCTTAACGGTTGGTCTCTAGACAGGCTCTCTAGGCAGGGATCTGTGTGAGTCATCTGAGGCAATGGTGTGCATGGGAATCTTGACTGAGGGTTGCACCATTCCCCATGAAGGCATTTAGAAATGTGGGAGCATCTGTGGTAGTCTCAGTGATTTGGGGGCACTGCTGGCATTTGGTGGAAAGACTCAAAGTACTAATGTCCTGCCATGCTATAAATTGTCCCCCAGTGAAGAATGGACAAATCCCCACACACCTATTGGTAGGTGTGTGAGAGAAGTTCTAATGCAAAGCTTATAAGCCACCCAGTCAAAAGTCATTGGTTATTTTGTATCCGTGATTAGAGTGACCAGTTGGTTCAGTTTTGCAAATTATCACATCATGATGTCATCAAGAATTGAGGGTTGGCATGAACTCGTCCTCTGAGTCAGGAAGCAAATTCCGGCTACAAAACTAATAGACAGTGAACTAACCCTAAATTTGCCAGCACTCTTGCAACTTGCCTAGAGCCTCACTTCTTTGAGATCCAGGAGGGCAGAGACCTTGCTGATCTTATTTTCCACTTGATAGAGATAAAGGAATCGCTGGAATAGAGTGTGGCACATAATAGATGCTCAATAAACAGCTAGCTTGTGCTCCTCACCAAGCTATGTGCCCTGGTGCAGGGCTGTGTCTGCATGGAGAAAACGTGCTATCTTCAAATTCACACACAGGTATAATATGAGCTACCAGGAACCCAGTCTAGGGGGAAATTCTTGAGACATGTGTCCCTCAAATTGAGGTTAAGTATGCTTTCAACAAATTAGACTTCCAGTACATAGAGGAAGAAATACTTCTGTGTCCTTGACAATGCTTAATCCATCAGCATCCAACAGAACAAGACATGTTGGATTAGAACCCATCTGTGGTGTGCCACCTCCTAGTCCCCAGGGCCCCAGGACTCCCTTGGATCTACATGGGGTGGTAGAAAGAACACAGAAATCCACAACTTGAAGAACACTCTTCTTGAAAGTGTATTTTTCCAAAGTAGTTTTCTTTGCCAGCGCCTACTCTAACTTGGTGATTTTATAGAAAGCTTCTCAGGCTTGGTTTCATAAATAAAAGTATTGATTGTTTTGAGATCGTTGGCTCTTTTTCTTTACCATTCTGGAAATGAATTATTTTGAGCCTTGTCAATATGTTCCACACAGTCATGTTTATATCAATTTGAATCATCTTACAGTGCTTCTTCATTAAGATGGGATGGTCTTGATATTGGGAATGTGTCCATTCTTCATTGGGGGACAACCCCTAGCATGGCAGACATTAGTACTTTGGCTCTTTCCACCAAATGCCAGTAATACCCCAAATCATTGAGAGTACCACAAATGCTCCCTCACATTTTTAAATGCCCCCTCGCATTTCTAAATGCTTTCATGGGGAATGGAGCTCCCCCGCATGGAGATTCCCTGGTACAACACTGTTATGCCTAAACTTATAAATTACAGAAAAGTGAGAGTTGAAAATAGCCATGACTGAACATCACAAGGCACCCCAGGGGGAGCAAACGCCTGGCAGAATTGGTCTCCCATCTTCCTTCTGCACATCCTTCCTATTCCTTTGGACTTTGGAGTCCTTGTGATGAAACTGATCAAGCCCAGAACTGTGCTATATCAATGGGAAAACACTTCCAGTACCTTAGAGAAAGTGCAACAGGAAGGGTGTAGGACATGCTGTTTAGAATTTGTTTTCATATGTAACACGATAGCTCCAAGTTCCAAATCTATACATCTGTCTGACAATACCGCACGTACCTAGTATAGTGCCAAGAGCTAGAATGCTTTGTTTGTTTCATCCTTACAACAGTTTTGCTCAACTTAAAACAGCTTTCACATTCCCATTTTATAGATGAAGAAACCAAGGCTTTAAAAAGGTACAAAACTTGGCCGGGCATGGCGGCTCACGCCTGTAATCCCAGCACTTTGGGAGGCTGAGGTGGGTGGATCACTTGAGGTCAGGAGTTTGAGACTGGCCTGGGCAACATGGTGAAACCCCGTCTCTATTAAAAATACAAAAATTAGTTGAGCATGGTGGCTCACATCTGTAGTCTCAGCTGCTTGGGGTGGCTGGGGTGGGAGGATTGCTTGAACCCGGGAGGCAGAGTTTGCAGTAAGCTGAGATCGTGCCACTGCACTTCAGCCCGGGTGACAGAGTGAGACTCCGTCTAAAAAACAAAAAAAGAGAGAGATACAAAACTTGTCCATAGCAAACTGTCCCCAGTGTCTGTTCTGGCAACAGAATAGTCTCTTGCTATACAATTATTGAAAAGTCTTGGGGGAGGGAATGGGGAAGAGGGGATTAGAAAAAGAAGTTTCAATTCAAAGCATGTGCAAACCTCATCTCCCAGGGAGTATTAAGCAGCACCATTAGTATCGGACCTGCCACTACCAGCTGGAGTGCCAGCTGATTTCCGACCCATGAGGGAAAAAGCCTTTCTAAGTGGCACTGGGAAAGGGGTGAATTGGCTGCTTCATCAACAAACCACGATAGAATGTGGGCACCAGTTGCAGCCACAGAGTCTGCTGCTGCCTGGAGAATTTGGCTGCAGCATCATTTCCAGACTCTCCGCAAAAAAAAAAAAAAAAAAAAGTCAAGACCGGATATCTGGGGAGAGGAAGGAAGGGAGGAAATTGGCTGGTTTGTCGGAAGGAACCGGATGCTATGGCTTCCGGGGATCCAGAATGGGAAAAAATGGTTAATGATTCATCCACACCACTCAGTCATACATGCATTCATTTCATAATACTTATTAAGCATCCGCCACGTGCCAGATTTTCTTCTAGATGCTGAAGCTACAGGAACTGACAAATATCCCTGCCCTCATAGAGCTTATATTTTAATGAGAGGGACACTGACTGTAAACATATAAGCGATTAAAAGACTATATCAAATGGAGAGAAATATTTTGATCAAAAGGCAGCAGGGAAGGGGGAACAGAGCTCACGCAGGGTGGGTGGGTGGATGGTCCTGATTTGAAACAGTAATCACAGAAGGCCTCATAAAGCGACATTTGAGTAAAGATTTTGTAAAAGTACCATGCTGGGCACTGTTCTAAGCATTTTGCAATTATTATGTCATGAATGCTCCCAACAACCCCAAGAAATATGGCTATGATTATTTTGGTTTTACAAATGTAACATGATACATTCATGATACATCTGAACTTCAGAGACTGAGGTTCAGAGATGCAGTGACTGCAGAGATCACACAGCTAGAAAGTGGGAGAATTTTGGGATTTGAATACAGACTTGCTTTAACTTTGGCGGCTGCGCGCTTGCATGTCCGTGCGTACGCCGTCCACAAACCGGCTTTGGGAAAGGGCAAGTTATGGGTGCAAATGGAGCCTTGCAGGTACCCACCAAGTGCACATGGTGCCACCACCCGTAGGTGGATTTGATGGGGGAGAGGCGGCTCACGATTTTCACCTTGCCGAAGCGGCTCTCCGTCTATGGCCGGGGAGTTTGGTGGCTCAGCTGCAGGCGAGGTGGGCCGGTGGGGGAGGGAGTGCAACTGCGAGGGTTGTCCCGGGACATTGCCAGCCTGAACCTCACCCCGCCCGCCACCCCCGGGCCAGCTGCTTCAGTCAATAAGGCAGGGGCCTGGCAAGCACTCGTCACTCTCCTGGTGGGGTTTTCTTGGGTGTTCCTAGCGGGGTTGAAGGGGGCTGGGGAGCTGAGCTCCGGAAGGGCGGACTAGAAGCCCCAGCGTCCTCTCCTAGAGAGGCTGGCAGCTCCGGAGGCCGGTGCGCCGAGGGCAGGCAGAGCCACGAGTTGCGTGGAGTCCCCGAGTGCATTAGCGGGAGAGCCCCAGGCGTGGGACAGAGCGGTGGAGGGGCGCCTGGGAGCCCTGCGGGACACCAAGAGAGGCGAGGGTGGGGCTACTGCACAGCAAACAGGGAGGAACTACGGTGCGCTGGGTAGAAAGAGTAAGAGAGAGACGCACGCACTTTGCTGGTGAGGGGTCACAGGAAGAGCTTAAGAAAGGCTTAAAGAGGTAGCGGGTGTGAGCTAGCCTCCGGCTGGCGCGTTGGAAAGGGGATGCAGGAAGGAGGCCAAGAGAGGGAGCCGGGTGTAGGAAGAAGCGAGAAGGAATGCTTGCTCGGACAGAGCCTGCGGTGCCAAATCGTGAAAACCGCGGGTTAAGGAGGGGCATCAGGAATGGCCTGGGGACCCCCGGAAAGTGGCGTAAGCGGTGCCGTTGGGCGCAGCAAAGAGAGAAGGGAGCACACGCTGAGACAGAGACAGTCCTGGGCGCTGGAGAGCAGGAGCCCCCTGCGCAGCAGGGAAGGAAACGTAGAGCCTCCGCGCTCAGAGAAAGGGACTTACTGATGCCCACTAGGGTGGCGCACATTGGGGCTCTAGAAAAGAGGGTTGAGAACCCCCGGGTGAGTGCCTAGGAAAGTCAGAGGAGTCAGCAAAGTCCACGGAAGAACTTCCCCCAGTTGGAGAGGAAACGCACCCTGGGAGCTGGAAGGGAGAGGAGAACCTGGCTGGGGGAAGCTTGATCAGGCTCTGAGCACCACGAGGAGTGCAGAGGAGGTGCGGATAATTGCGGGAAGAGCTCTGAGAGCCCGAGAAAGGTGAGGAGGAGGTGAGAGGACAAAGTACTACTAGCGCGCAGGGGCCGGAGGAGGGAACCGCAGAGAGCGCGCGGAGTCCCCTGCAGGGGTCTCTCCTCCCAGGCTGCCTCTGGCCGTAATACACTCACCATTATGGAAAAGACCAAAGCCACGATGTTGATGGGGTACGCAGGGCAGAAACACGAGACGATGGTGAGCCACAGGTAGTTCTTGGGCAAGGGGACGTCCTCCTCGGTTTTGTCATCTTCAGTGTTGGCCTCGGGGCTGCTGTCCAAAGCCCTCTTGAAGTCCGGGCTGGGGGCGTACTGAGACATGGGCGAGGCCGGCAGCGCAGGGAGGGCGGAGGAGCGCACGGTCTGCGTGGTCTGGGGCTCTGGCCGCTGGTTCCTGGTGAGGCTCTGAAAAGCCAGCGGCTCGGGGCTCAAGGGAGACGTGACCTCACCCCTTCTGCGTCCTCCGCCAGCACCCGCCCGGGGTTAAGGGACCCGGGCCAAGAGCCTCCCCACAAGGAGAAGGGAGGGAGAAACGGAGTGAGGGGAGGCGGGGAGGACAGAGGGAGCGTCCGCACGAGAAACAGGGGACAGGCAGACGAAGGCACCCCATTCCCTGAAGGACACACCCAGACACCGTCGGAGGGACCCACAGACTCACACTGAGAAGTCTGAAATAAAGGAAGGCTCCGGGAAGGAGGACGCAAAGGTCCATTAAGTTCCAAATTGGCCAGCCCGCGGGCTGAGGATGACCAGCTCATTTTTAAAAGCCACTTAATTCAAATACATTTAGATAGGACGAGACCAACCCTATCCAGTTGGCAACAGACTCACTACTTGCTCTTGACTTCAGTGTTTTACCTTAACTGTCTGGTGTGTGGGCATTTGTCTCCCGTGCCTCAGACCTTGAACACTGAGCTCCAGGAATCTCTCCTCCCCACTCTCCCAGGTGCGCTAGGAACCAGGTGCCCAGTTTTGGCCTCAAAGCTTTCCACACTCTATGGGGAGCTCAAGAAACTGGAGACCAGTACAGTCAGCCAGTGGGCACTGCCCGATCCGTGCCTGTCCGGGTGTCCTCCCCAGTGTGGAAACAAGGAATTCTTCTTTCCACTTTTCCACCTGCAGGAACCCTAGGGAGAAATGCAGGTAGATAAGGCTGGCCTAGGCCATCTAGATGGATGAGTGGGTTGGGGAGAAGAGAAAGGTATTCACTTTGGGGACTAGAACGAGAAAAGCAATTGTATCGGTGTCTAAGCTATTAATGAGAGGGCCGTATGGACCAGAACTGAGGCTTGAATCCAGACAGAACTGGGAAATTGTCACTTCAGGAAAGTCCCATCATCTTGCTAAGCTCCTATTTCTCCATCTGAAAAAGGGGAAATAATAATAGTCCCTGCCTCATAAAGTCATAGTGACTCTTCTATGAGATGGTACATTACAGGTAAATCCACATGCTTGATAAGTATTAGCTATTATTAGCATGCTATTCTTCCTTCTATTCTGAAACATACAGTGCATTATGCAGCATCCTAAACCTGATATCCCTTGCAAATATTTCATCAAAAATGCAGATATTCTGAACTGCAGGACCACAAATAAATGAAAATAATTTGATCATGCACAGTGTCAAAAGCAATTGCTCACATCATCATACTCAAAAGTATTAACCATCTTCTTGGCTTCCTCAGAACATAAGCTGATTGCCTGGGACATTCTCACTTATCTCATGAGCCATTCGTATTTGGTCATCTGCCTCCCTCATTGGACTGCACACTCCCAGAGAAAGGGGGTCATCTGGCCCATCTTCGTGTCAGCATCTGGCACAGTTCCTGGTACAAGGGATGTACTTAGTATAGCTTTCTGGGTGAACACACAAAGATGAACATCTCCACCATGCCTTCTTTTCCATTTTGATGGATTAATGAAATGGGAATAGCTAGAAGATGAGATTCATCTACTGAATTCTCAACCTAGTCTTTGCATTGGCTGTTCCCTCTGCTGACTGTCACATGGCTCCACTTTCTTATTCCTCAGGTGACAGCTCAAGTAACTTCTTCAAAGAGAGGTGTTTGTTTTCGATTTATCTAGCATAGGTCTCCATCATTAGTTTACACTTGCCAGCTTGTTATTTTTGTGTGTGTGTAGTGTGTGTGTCACAACTCTAATTTATTTCTTTACTTGTCCACTATCTGTTCTTTCTCTAGACTGTACCTGTCCACCCTGTTCAGAACTATATTTCCAAGTCTTAAGAATCGTCCTGGCACATAGTAGGAATGCAGGAAATGTTTCTTGAATGAATTGACCAAAATTACCTGGTAGTATTAAAAAATGATTTTCAGGTCTTGATCAAGACCTACTTTGATTAGAATTTCCCAGGTAGCACCCCAGAAATCTGTACTTTTAATGCCTGAGAAAACTGTATTTTTAGAACACCCCCTGGTGATTCTGATGCAACTGAGCAATTTCTCAGATCCCAGCTGTCTCTAATTCTTAGGACACAGTTCTGGATCTTTAGTTTGGAGATTCTCTCAGGTGTCTCAAACTCAATGTGTCAAAGAGGAACTCATTTTGGTCCTTGGTCAATGAACCCTGCCCACTTTTCCAGTCTCTTCTGTCAAGTATCTCCTTTCTTATTTATTTACTATTTATTTTTAGAGACAGAGTCTCACTCAGTTGCCCAGGCTGGAGTACAGTTTGGGCAATCATAGCTCACTGCAGCCTCAAACTCCTGACTTCAAGCGACCCTCCCACCTTGACCTCCCAAAGTGCTGGGATTGCAGGCATGTATCACCATGCCCAGAATTCTCTCCTTTCTTACTGCACTTCAGTTACATAGACATTTTCCCTGCTTTCTCCAACATACCTAACCTTTTCCCACCCCAAAGTCTCTGTACCTACTGTTCCTCCTGGAATGCTTTCTCTCTTTCCTAGCTATTGGTTCCTTCTTTCCCTCCAGGACCCATTAACTCATATGTTGTCTCCTGACGGAGGCCTTCCCTGGCCATCATATCTAAAGTGGACCCCATCCTCTTATTCTCCATCCTACTTCCTTGTTTATTTCCTATGTCAGACATGGTCTTATTTATTTATTTGTCTTCTTATTTACCGTCTTTCCCATTAGAAAGGAAGCTCCACAAGGGCAGAAATATTTTTTTCTGTTTTGTTTGCTTTGTTATCCCAAACACCCAGCACCGTGCCTGGCCCTTAGTAGGTGCTCAATAGATAATTCATTGTATGAATAAATTGTGGATTTAGTCATCCAAGTTAGGCACTTGGCGACATTCTTCTTCTCTTTCCTTCAGCCTCTCCATGAACTATTCATCAAACTTTTGATTCCTTCTCAAATGTGACTCTTCATTTCATGTTCTCTTTTCCCATCATCCTGGCCTTCCAATTCTGTCTCTTATTCACAGTGAAAAAGTGCTCCCTGAACCAAATTAGTGATCTGAGCCTAGTGAATTTATTTTTAAACTATTTTTATTTTTATTTTTCCCCCTTCTTTTCACAGGGGTTGATGAGGCTAGGTAATTTTGTTGGTGCCAGTAGCCCAAGGTTTGGGTATCATATGCAATTTTGCTTTTCAAAGTTTTGAACTGTATTGGTCACTGTAACCTACTAGCGTCATCTAAGGAAAGCCAAAAGGAGGGGTTATTAACTCATTTCCTTCTGCCAGGAAAACAGCTGTTTAACATGAGCTGAACACTCTAGAATCGTCAAACATTGACCAAACACCCACTGTTGCACTGAGTGCATTCCCTGTGTGTATCATCTCATTTAAGTCCTATAGCAAATTTTCTGAGGGAGGTGGTGAGGTTTTCTTTTTCGAAAATGAGGAGAGCTAGGGAACATATAAGTAAAGGGACATGTGTAAAGTCTTCTAGCTAAGAGGAGTTGCCAGAATTTGAACTAGGTTTGAGATGTTTGTTTAGGTAGCAGGTCCAGGCCAGAAAGGTAAATGGATATCTCTGACGTTCATTGGAGTTATTATGCTCTGCTCAGGGAAGATGGATTAATAGCTTGTTGACTGGTCTAAGATGTAGCATTGAAATTGCCATCACTTGAAACTTTTCAAATTAAATTGAAATGAAAGTGCCTACACCAGAAAGTGTAATGTATATGGTGTTGATTCTTGAGGGATGCATTAGATCACTCAATGGGGGTTTCTAGCTCTAATTTCCTGAGCTTCACTAATTTTCTCTTGAGAGGTCAGTTTATTGCTCTTGGATGAACCCTACTGGCTGATTGCTTAATAGTATGGCAATACCTACCCTCTTTAAAATGAGACAGAGGAGAAAGCAACTTTCTAATAGCCAGTCTAGAAGGGAAAGGCTTACTGTAGCTTTCTGGATTCCAGTGTAGCAACTTACCTTTTTGATCTTTGAAACAAGTTTTATTTCCAAATGTAAATGTAATATGTATTCATTTTAGAAAATTGAGAAAAACACAAACAGAAAGAGGTATTATCCAAGTAACCACTACAAACAGAAGGGGCTATTTCCTTCTGGTCCTCTTTCTACGTGTATATATCATTTTCCACTAAAACGAAATTATATACAATTTTGTTTCCTCTTTTTTTCACTCAATGTTATATGATAATTAACATCCTTTGCAGATATTTTCATGGTCTGTGTAATTTCCCACTGATTAAATGGATTATTATTTATGTCACCATGCCCTGATCATAAATATTGAAGTTATTTTTAGTGTTTATACATTGTTATTTTAAAAATTGCTGTGATGAATCTCTTTTGTATCTGAGAATCTGCATTCATGACCTTTTCTTTGTGAATTGCGATCTTACAGGGTAGATATCAGTCTTTGAAAGGGCAGAGAAAAAATTCAGATGGGCTGGTTGAGAAGTTGTATCATGAGATATGTACAAAAGGTAAAATTAAAATTTAGACCAAGGAAACAACCACAGATTCAATGGACTACAGACATGAGATGCTTCATAAGAGATGAAATTAGATAGATTCAAAGAACAACTTCCCGATGCCAAATGGATCCCTGAATCTAACATTCAATGGCAATAGATTGGTGTTGAATCTATGAATGCGTGCTGGAAATCTACACTTTTTGATCTTAGCTATGTCTAGGATTCCAAAATAAAGGTGGGCTGGGGTAGAGGGGTGGGTGGTTGGGGGGGGGGTGGAGAGAAAGAGAGAGAGAGAGAGAGAGAGAGAGAGAGAGAGAGAGAGAGAGAGAGAGAGAGAGAGAGAGAGATTCTGCTGATCTGTGAGAATGTAAGAGAAAGAGTCCAGATCTTTAGGAAATGGTAAGAGGTTGAGTGCATTTGCTGCCAAATTTCACATTAGTCTCAAGTGCCAGCTGTTAGTAGTCATAAAGTAACTGCTGTGGTCTCAGGGGTTTGCTACAAAATAACAGTGTCTTTTTGGATAATATTATTAGAAAACCATTTGCCTTCCCACTTTCCAACAACTTTGGTCATCTCACAAGGAAAACAAAAAGGAAAAACTGAGAAGAGGAAGTATAAGGGGGAAGCTGATCAGAGGAAAGGAAGTATAACAGGGAAGCAGATTCAGTATCCTTTCTTCCTTCCTTCCTTCCTTCCTTCCTTCCTTCCTTCCTTCCTTCCTTCCTTCCTTCCTTCCTTCCTTCCTTCTTTCCTTCCTTCCTTCTTCTTTCCTCTCTCTCTCTTTCTTTCTTTTCTTTTCTGAGTCAGTCACCCAGGCTGGAGTACAGTGGTGTGATCTCAGCTCAC